CTTCCTCATCCTCCTCCTCCGCCGCTTCCTCTGCCACCTCCTCCTCCCCCTGCCCCTCCCCCTTCTCCCCATCCCTCCTCCTTATCTTCCTCATCATCCTCATCCTCATGTTCATCCTCCTCCTCTTCCTCATACTCCTCCGCTTCATCCTCCTCCACATCCTCCGCCTCCTCCGCCTCTTCCTCTCCCTCCTCATCATCCTGCTCCGCCTCCTTTTCTTCCCCGTCATCGTCCTCTTCATCCTCCCACTCCTTATCCGCCTCATCATCCTCCTCCTCTTCCTCCTCATCATCTTCGTCTCATGTTCGCCCTCCTCCTCGTCTCATCCTGGTCTCTTCATCTTCCTCCGCCTCCTCCTCCTCCTCCTCCTCATCAACATCATCATCATCATCCTTCTCCTCCGCCTCCTCATCATCCTCCTCCGCCGCCTCCTCTGCCACCTCTTCATCCCCCTCCCCCATCTCCCTTCTCCCCATCCCTCCTCCGTATCTTCCTCGTCCTCCTCATCCTCCTCCTTTTTCATCCTCCTCCTCTTCCTCCTACTCCTCCGCTTCATCCTCCTCCACATCCTCCGCCTCCTCCGCCTCTTCCTCTCCCTCCTCATCCTCATGTTCCGCCTCCTTTTCTTCCCCGTCATCGTCCTCCTCATCCTCCCACTCCTTATCCGCCTCATCCTCCTCCTCCTCCTCATCCTCCGCCTCCTCCTCCTCCTCATCATCATCAGCAGCAGCAGCATCATCATTATCATCATCAGCATCATCATCAGCAACAGCATCATCAGCATCCTCATCATCCTTCTCCTCCTCATTCGCCTCCTCGTCCTCCTCCTCCGCCGCGTCCTCTTCATCATCCTCCCCAGCATCCGATGCGTCCTCCTCTTCTTCCTCCTCCTCCGCCTCCTCCTCATTCTCCTCATTCTCCTCATCCTCATCCTCCTCCTCCTCCGTCTCCTCATCCTCCCCCATCCTTCTCCCTCCTCATCCTCCTCCTCCTCATCATCCTTCTCCGTCTCGTCATCAACCTCATCCGCATCCTCTTTCTCCTCATCCGCCTCCTCCTCCTCCTCCTCCTCCTCCTCTTCATCATCCTCATCAGCATCCTCATCAGTATCCTCCTCATCATCAGCAGCATCATCATCGTCATCGTCATCATCAGCAGCATCATCATCATCATCCTCGGCATCATCATGATCAGCCTCATCCGCATCCCCATCCTCCTCCTCCTCATCGTCCTCCTCCTCATCCTCCTCCTCCCCCCTCCTCTTCCTCATCTCCATCGGCTTCCTCATCCTCGTCCTCCTCTTCATCCGCCTCATCATACCCCTCTTCCTCCACGTATTCATCTCCCTCTTCCTACTCCGCATCCTCCTCCTCCTCCTCCTCCTGCTCCTCCTCGTCATCCTCATCGTCATCTTACTCCGCCTCATCCTCCTTCTCGTCCTCCTCCGCCTCATTATCCTCATCTACTCCTGCTGCCCGTGCTCGTTCCAGCCTTCCATCAGTACCTCCCGCCCGCCCTCACATGCCCTCCATCCCTCATCCCTCTCATCCATCCATTCCCTCCGGCCATCCCTTCTCCTCATCGCCCCTCCTCCGCATCCTCGTCATCATCTTCTTCCTCCGCAGCATCGTCCCCATCCTTCTCCTCATTATATGCATCCACCTCCTCATCCTGTTCATCCTCCTCATTATCATACTCATCTTCTGCCTCCTCAAATTCATTTTCATCTCCCGCCTCATCATCATCCTCCTCTTCATCCTCCTCCGCCTCATCATCATCATCATCATCATGATCATCATCATCATCATCCTCATCATCCTCCTCATCATCCGCATCGTCTCCTCCTCGTCATCATCCTTCGCGTCTCCTCGCTATCCTCCTCCTCCTCCTCTACATCCTCCTCCGCCTCATCCTCCTCTTCCTCATCCTTCTCCCACTCCTCCTCCTCCTCCTCCTCCTCCTCCTCAGCATCATCATCATCATCAGCATCATCATCATCATCATCATCATCATCATCATCAGCATCCTCATCCTCATCCTCATCCTCATCCTCCTCATCCTCATCCTGCTTCTCCTCTTCCCCCCCCCTTCCCCGCATCCTCATCCTCCGCCTCGTCCACGTCATCCTCATCATCATAATCCTTATCTCCCTCCCCGATCATCCTCGTCAGCATCATCATCCTCCTCATCCACCTTCTTCTCCTCATCATCCTCATCCTCATCCACCCGTCCTCTTCCTCATCCTCATCCTCCTCATCATCCTCAGCGTCCTCCTCGTTTTTCTCCTCCTCCTTCTCCTTCTCATCCTCCTCCTCCTCCTCCTCCGCCCCCTCCTCCTCCTCCTTCTCCTCCTCCCTCTCCTCTTCCGCCTCTTCCTTCTTCTCCTCCTCCTCCTCCTCATCATCATCATCATCAGCAGCATGTTCCTTCTCCTCATCCTCCTCTCCCCCCCCTCCTCCTCCTCTTCTTTTTCCTCCCCATCATCAGCAGCAGCATCCTT